TGGAAAATGGAACTAATCTGAAAGTGAAATACTTGTTGTTTGATAATGGAGGTGAATATTATGATGATGATAATTTCAAGAGATATTGTGCCAATAATAGGATCGAGTTTGAGAAATCTATTCAGGGAAACCTCAACAGAATAGTGTTGCTAAAAGGATGAACAGAATCCTGAATGAACGTGCTAGGAGTATGAAGTTGCACACATGATTGCCAAATACATTTTGGACCGATGTAGTTAATACCGATGCATATCTTATCAACAAAGGTCCATCAGTACCATTGAGCTTCATAATACTATAAGAGGTCTAGAGCAGTAAAGAGGTAAATCTTTCTTTCCTGAAAATATTTGGTTGTTTGTCTTATATTCATATTGACCCTACCAATGGAGGTAAACATGATCCCAAATCTAAGAAGTGTTTCTTTATTGGTTATAGTGATGTTGAGTTTGGTTATCATTTCTGAGATGACCAAAATCGAAAGATCATCAGAAGCAGGGATGTTATATTCAACAAGAATGTGATGTACAAGGATAGGTTAGACACCAGAGTTGATGGTGCATGTCCTAAAATCAAGAAGTTTGAGAAAATTCTATTGAATGGCATCCCAATAAATAGGATAAAGACTAATAATGACTAGGAAGATCAAGAAGTTGTAGCACCAACGGTGGAGCCACAAATCCCAGTGGCTGAACTCAAAAGATCTTCTAGAATAATCCGACCTCTACAGAGATATTCTCTTGCACTACATTACATTTTATTGACTAATAAAGATGAGCCAAAGACCTATGAAGAAGCAATGCAGAATGATGAGTCAACTAAGTGGGAGTTAACCATGAAAGAAGAGATGAATTCATTGGTATCTAATCAGACATGGGAGTAAGTAGGACTATCAGAAAGAAAGAAAGCATTACATAATAAGTGGGTATACCGAATAAAAGAAGAACATAATGGTAGTAAACAATAAAAAGTAAGGCTTATTGTCAATGACTTTCAACAGAAGGAAGGCATTGACTACACCTAGAATTTCTCATTAGTGTTTAAATTGGCCACTATCAGATAGTTTTTGGGTTCGTGGCTAAGGAAGACTTACATTTAGAGCAGTAAGATGTCATGACGACATTTCTTTATGGTGACATGGAGGAAAAACTCTGTATGAAGCAGCCATAAAGTTTTGAAGTACAAGAGAAAGAGAATATGGTGTGTAAACTTTAGAAGAGCCTATATGGCCTAAAATAGGCTCCAAGACAGTGGTACAAGAAGTTTAATACATTTATGAGTACAGTGGCTACTTACGGTGACATATGGATCACTGCTATTATGTGAAGAGATTTGACAATTCTTATATTATTCTACTTTTGTATGTAGATGATATGATAATTGTTGGAGCTAATATGGAGGAAATTGATAAGTTCAGGAGAGAATTGTCAATACAGTTTTCTATGAAAGAGTTAGGACTTGCAAAGCAAATCCTTGAGATGAGAATTTCTAGAGACAAGGTAAATGAGACTTTAAAGCTGTCTTAGAAGGAGTATGTGTAGAAGGTGTTTAGCAGATTCAACATGGATGATACAAAACTTATAAGTATTTTTTGGGCTAGTCACTTCAAACTAACCAAAGAGTAGTTACCCTCAATAGAGCAGAAACAAGCTCATATGGTCAGGGTGCCTTATTCTTCTACTATTGGTAGCCTTACATATGTCATGGTGTGTACAAGACCGGATATAGTATATTCAGTGGGAGTTGTGAACCGATACATAAGTAATCTAAGTAAACAATATTGGGAAGCTGTGAAGTAGGTTCTTAGATATTTGATAGGAACCACAAACAAAGTCTTGTGTTTCAGAAAATCAAATTTACATAGCTGGTGATATAGATGGCAAGAAGAGTACTACTGGATATGTATTCATGTTATATGGTACGACAATCAGTTGGGTCTCAAAGTTATAAAAGATCATTGCACTCACTACTACTGAAGTTGAGTACGTTGTTGTGACAGAAGCAAGTAAGGAGTTGATATAGTTGTAGCGTTTCTTGGAGGAACTAGGACAGAATTATAGGAAGAATACTTTGTATTGTGATAGCCAAAGTGCTATTCATCTAGCAAAGAACCATGTTTATAATACTCGGACAAAGTATATACAGATTTGGTATTATTTCATACGCTCAGCTTTGGAATATGGAGTCTTGGTACTAGAGAAGATTCCAAGAAGCAAGAACCCATCGGATATGTTAATAAAGACGGTAACCGTTGATAAACTGAAGTTGTATTCAGTATTAGTTAGCTTGCAAGCATGAAGAAGAGAGAGATGAGCTGCTGCATTGATTGAGTGTAAAGATATAATTGAAATAATCTTGAAGTGGGAGATTATCAAGTAGTGGGAATTTTTTCTTTCTGTGTATTAACCGTGTCCATAAAACACATTTTTGCTCCATGTAAGACAAAAAAAGGGTAAAAAAAAAAAAAAAAAAAAAAAAAAAAAAACAACCGTGTATGGGCTTTGTATTTTATATGAAAATAATTTGTAAATAGTTGGTGATAGGATTAGTGGTCTAAGCCTATAAATAATGACCTTATTTCTTCATTCTACTCATCCCAGAGAAGTGAGAAACATCAAGCATACTGAGAGTAAAATAGAGAGATTTTATTCTTGAGAGTTAGAGAAAAATATAGCTTTTCTCTTAGGTGTATTCAGGGTCTGAGTGTGAGAAGTATTGAGTAAGTATTTGTAAACACTCATAAATATTTCGTTTTCTCCCAATAGTGAAATCTGAAGTAGCTCTGTAGACGTAGCCAAATTAGTGAACTAGATAATTTTATGTATCATGTGTTTATTTTATTTTTCATATTTATTTTATCGTTGCCACTATTGTGTGTTTATTGAGGAGGCCATTCCTAACAGTTTTCGAGTTCGAATTGGTTGAAAGCATAAACCATACAACAATTGAAGTACTTTCAGTTTTCAAGTATTCCATTCAAGTTTATATTTAAGGTGAAAATATATGTAAAACAAATAAAAGAAATGATATCTTCGATCACGTTTTTAGTGTCGATTTTGAATTTTGATACAAGATTGAATAAAGCACTGTCATTTTTTAGGTCTTTTGTTTGGATTATGCATGAAAAAAAAAATTGTATGTTAAGTCATGTTGGTGTATGGTTTGAATTTCGATCAATGACTGAATTATGAGGACTTCCAGTTCTTTTGTTAGGATTCAAGTTTTAAAGGTGAAAATGTGCCCCAAAAAAAGAAGAAATGATACATTAAAGTTTTCGTGTCGATTCAAATTGTTATCAATATTTAATTAAATCAAGCACTTATTGAATATGGATCAAATTTGATATTTTAGGTTTCATTATGGCCAGTTTGCCCGGTGTTTTGTTCAACTTTAGTTCAAAACTAAGACCATTCACTTAAGTTATGACAAATATATATATATATATATATATAAAATTTATGTGGTATGATTTAGTACATTTAAAATTCATGCAACGAAATGAGACAACCTAATTCAAAAACCGCTTATGAGACATTTTAAAAGTAACAAAGCAAAGTAAAATTTAATTCATATTTCAACAATTCAACCTTTCACATACTAAAATAAGATTTAGCCTTTTATTTTCTTAAATTCCTTTTTCTTATTTGATTAGTACGTTAATAATATAAGTTATGATGACGCTAAGTCCATAAGATTTAAATTAAATTTTTAATTATATATAAACTGTTATTATTTAATTAATGTACTAGAACTTACTATAAATGAATTAACCATATTCACTAATTGAACAGTGACACGTCTCATATATATTTTTTAGATACATAATGTCATCCTATTTTATACTAAATTTTTAATATAAAGACACATGACATATTAATTCACTTATGTTATAATTTCCGAATGCTAATTTACTTTTTTAGTTTATGTCATTGACTATTCCCTAAAAAAAAAAAAATCATTGACTGATTTTAAGAATTTACTAAAATGGCAGATATTTTAAATCGTTTCTAGGTTTTTCATCTCGTACGAAAGCTATTAAATGTTGGTGCTTTTGAAAGATACGTTGATCTCTTCTCGTCCAAAAGATGTTCTTTTTTTTGGGTCCTTTTTATTCGGTGAGAATGTGGGGTCACCCTCTAGCAAAGGGAAATTATGACTTTTGACAATAGGGGAAGACAATATCAGCATTATAACCATGAAAGGTACTATAATGTAAATAAATCCTTATAAAAATATATATATATCTCTTCCTATCAAATCCTAAAAAGTGACATTTTGAAATTTGAAGCATCTTGACCATTGGCATTATAGAGTTTGTAATTTGCATTGTATTTTGATATTATAAACTGAAATAAATTAGAGTATAAACGAGAGAATATTCAAGCCTTGGGAGAATTGATTGGAGAGAAAACCAGAGGATAAAATCAAATATCTAAAGAATAAGGTGAGAAAGGATATAATTATCAGAACATAGTTTAATGTTTAATATGTAGGAAGTTAGATGCGAACAAAGACCAATAATAATAATAAAGTAAAGAAGAGGGAGATTTTATTTCCAGTTTTCCACAACCTTTGGCAGAGCACAATCCAACAACGTTTTATTTAATAAAACTAATTTTCACTCCAGAACCTTTTATTTAGTTATTTATGGGGACAATAACGGCGAGACTCTTTCCCTGTTTTGACCCTTTCAACTTAAATATTTGGCAGATGATTACAAACTCATCAATAGTAAAACTGGGTTTGGTTAATCAAAATCATGAATTGAAGAACAAACTTTTAGAACTTAGAGCAAAACATTATACTGATTGCTGAGAACTGCATTTGAAAATTACATTTATGAGACATTATTACACGCCACACCACTTGCTTATTCTGAGTAAATAATAGCCCATAAGGCTTACAATACCAAAAGCAATTCTTTTATCATTTTCTTTTTTCATTTTTTTTTTGGGTATATGGCAGATCGGGCAAGCGCGGATCAAAAGCAAAGGTGCCACACTCTACAACGTTGGTGGAATCCATATATAGCCGTGAGTTTGTACATAACCAGCTTTTGCAAGCAGCTCATCTGCTGCCTCAGGACCTCGACTACCTGGTTTGTATGGAAGCGGCTTCAGCTCACCATCATCAATTCTGTGCAGAAGAGGGGTAAATATCTCCCACGCGGCCTGATGTCAACACCATAAAACAGTCAAACTAGGAAATCGACAGTGTATTTCGGTATAGTTTATGAAGTAAAAGTTTATACTAATTACCTTCAACTCATCTCTACGAACGAAATGTTGCTGATCACCTCTTATTCTGTCAAACCAAAATCCAGGTTTTGAATCAGAAGTCAGGGGGAAAGATTAAATACCAACATTCAATTCCTTGTACCCCTATACACATTGTTATTCACTAACTAGGCAAGCAACATTTTAGCATTTAGTACACCAAACTAGATTGTTAACAGCTAAAGCAAAAGTAGCATAGTGAGGTACAATAGGTTTGAGATAACAGGGCAATAACATACGTGTCAAGTATTAGACGTTCGTATGCTTCGGGTATTGTAACGCTATGATAACGTTGCCCATATGACAAGTCTAGTTCACTTTGAACTGTTGACATCTCCAGTCCAGGCTGCTTAACCTACATAAGAGATCACAATCGTTAGAGGACATGTACAAAGAGTCCAAAATTTTTCTAGCATCTGCAGACTGCAGTCCAGGTACATGCACAAAAGTTTGTAAAAATTACATGGGATCACCTTGTCACAACTCACGATCACTGAGACAATTTATATGATCTTTCCACATATTAACAATGGTCTCTCTAATCATTTTTTTCTTCAATATAAATTACTACAATACAAAGACTGTATTATAAATATACACACACACACACATATATATATATATATTATTTTAAAAAGGTATCGAAAATTCCAGAGTTCTGAAACAAGAACATAGCAAACTGAAAGGACTACTGGTCGTCAAAATTTAAAATATTCTGGACCTACTTAATTCAAAATCTTTCAATGATGTGTACAGGGGGGATTTCCCTAAAAACTTGTCTGGTACCATCTGTAACTCTAGCTTATTAACAGCCAGCACAAGTTTTCTTCCATTCTACATCAAGTTGTTCAAGACAAACACAGACAGCAATCACTGTAATAAAAATTCTCAAAAACACGATATTATCAGAATATGCTTACTGTAAGCTTCATGTACATGGCTTCTGAAGGTTGAAGCCGTATTACAAACTCATTTCTCCCTTGCTTTTTACCTAAACAATGGGAAAGTACACAATTAACAAACTTGACCACGGTTTAAAACAACCTAATAGATATAGGGACCAAAATAAGATATTTAGCAATAATATAAGACTTTCTGCTAGTTATACAATATTTCTTTCAACGTGGATTGGCTAAAAACTAAGAACACGAAAGCAAACAAATTCCCTTGCGCATTTATCCGTGCCCACAACTTGAATGCTTATGAGGAAGAAATACAATACTGATAGAATTTCTTAGATTCGACATCCTAGTCCTAGATAAAATTTCTATAGTTTCTTATTTCATAAAAATGAACAAAGCTGCAAAACAAAAACTAGTAAGAAAAATTTTTAAGCTATGGTGCCGTACATTTGAATATATCACCAGGAACATCCTTAAACTGAACTCGAATTTCAGCCTTTCTTGAATTCAATGCTTTCCCTGCCTTAACAATAAATGGGACACCTGGCGAAGGGGAAAATCAACCATTAAAGTTATAAGAGATTGAAAATTAAGATTGTGTCAGTGTGCCACTGTTACTTCAGCGCACAATGAAAAATAAAGCATAATTATAAATAATAAATTAAATAAATAAAATAAAATAACAGCCCCCCAACCCTATAAAACCTATACAAATTAGAGGCCCTGAAATTAGTTTCCCCAAAAGTAAATTTAATGAAAAAGTGAGCATAGCACACCTTCCCATCTTTCATTATGAATTCGCAGAACCACAGTGGCAAAAGTTGGAGTATTTGAGTTGTCAGGAACTGTTGGATCATCTCTGTAGCCATCATATTGTCCAAGAACAACTTCATCATCATTAATTGGAAGTACTGATTGAAGAACCTGAGTTTGTCACTTTTATCAGCAAGTAATATAAGATAAAAATTCTTGGACGCAGAGTAAATTTCCACGGAGGAACTTAAATATTTCTGGAAACGGTGTTGCTTTTATTAATTCAACTGCATTCGCAGCTAATATGTTCTCATGATTTCTGTATGTAATAATAGTTTTATCTCACATCTTCATGCAGAAATTTTTAACATCACTTTTGTCACAAATTTAAAGAGATAAGAAAATGGACCAAAGCATATTTATTTTCAACTAAGCATACATTTTGTACAGAGAATATAATAGCCATTGCTTGCCACATAGTGAAAATAAGATACACACCTTCACTTTCTCATCTCTGATGTGCTCAGGTTTGAGAGAAATTGGCTTCTCCATGGCAACCAGGCAGAGAACCTACAGTTTTGTAGGGGAAAAAGAACGAGGACAAACACTGTAGTCATGGTCATAAATATGCAACATCAATGTGTCTATACATGTCACTGTAACCAGCAGATTTGTCTATACTGAAAATGCGCAGAACTATCAAAGACTACAACTTAGAAAAATAAATAGTCCTATTATGAGTGCTCAGAATTTTGCTTCTAAATAAATAGATAAATCATCAATGTGAAGATGACATATCAAACTAACTCTCTAGTTTAAAATCTGCAAATACCTGCAACAGGTGATTTTGAATAATATCACGGATAATCCTGCCGAAAAAAATAACTTATTAGTTGATGTATTCCTCTGGATCAAATTTTATTGCAGTTACAGAAGAAGGTAAGTTGACAAAATAGAATCTCCAAAACTAGCCAATAACAACTACATGGTTTAACTTAAGTTTTTGAATATATTAGCCCAAAACATTAATTTTGAGGTTTAATTTCCAAAATTCAATATAATGTAATCATTAGAAAATAAAATGAAACATGCTAAAGACAACAAAACCGCTATTTGATTTAAATTTCTTATCAATAAACATACTCGGTCACAATCATCTAGTAATCATACCCGTACTGNATCCTCCCTAAACACGATCTGAAAAATAAATTTAATAAAATACACATAAACATTCATGGAATTTCAATTCCTGGAAATGCCATGGGTACATTTGCGAACAATAGATAGTTCTGAAGATATTGAACCATATGCACTAAAGGACTTTTAGGTCCTAGAGTCAACAGTAACATGCTTTTGAAGTTGCAACCTACAAATACACAACATTCTGATAGGATTACCAAAAGAGAGTCACACCTGTACATTGTCGATGTTATCACGGTTCCAGAGGGGCAAAAAGAAGCGGTTTGCAAAACGAAGGACCAACTGCATATTTGCATCAGAAGAGAAAATAAGCAGAATTCAAAGTTAGTAGCAACCAACAAGAAAATGAATTATAGACACGTTACCAAATTTTGCACCAACTCCTTTCCCAAATAGTGATCAATGCGATATAATTGTGATTCCTTGAACAACTCTCCAATCTGAGAACTGAGTTCCTCGGCAGATTCTAGATCCTTGCCAAACGGCTTCTCAACAACAACCCGTGTCCATCCACCAAGATCAGCTATAAAAATCATTACATAATACATTAAGGCATCTTGTAAAGGTTGGTATTGGTATTTCGATTTCCTGAATCTACATCTCATTCAGGAACCAAGTAATGACAAAATCTATGATTTGCCTACATGCCTTATATTTTGAATCATAACTTTTAGTTGAGAGCAACAATAGTTTGACTAGATTCTCGGTTATATGTACCCATTGTATATTGATCCACTAACTAAAATTTCGTATTTTCACTATTATTGCAGCATATGATTGCCGAGCCAGGACATCCATATTACATTTACTTTTCAGCTTAACAATAATAAGCTTGACGAACATTTTATCAGTCATTTGTCAGCTTTCAACATTTAGCATTTGTATAAAATTAATCCCTTTATTTTTTTCAGAAACATTTTATGCAATTTATTTACGTGCTGCATGAATAAATTGTATCTTTACGACGGAAGACATAATTATATTATTATATACCCATTAATCATCTTTAGCCTTAAAACAAAAAGTAGCTCAATGTTAAAACAACCGTACATTTATTCATGCAGAAATGCCGGATCATCTTGCAGACAGATGGATATACCGATGGAGGAAGTGCAAGATAAAAGAGTCTCCTAGATGATCCTTCTGCGCTATGTTTTGAGACTTCATGCTTTGAAATTTCCTTATCCAATAGCCGAAACCCCTCCTCGGCATCATAAGCACCACTTACATATTTGATCTACAAGGATGAATTACTAGCAATTAAATATCACCACAAGTTCATCAATAAAAATAAACAGGAAATTAAGGGGAAAAAATGCAGACAAGAATCATCCTAACCAGTTGCAAAAAATCAGTTACAGCTTCCAAGTCCTTGGATGAAGCGCCTTTGTCATTTATAAGATATCTGCAGTCAATTATCAACTCTCAGTCCCTATCACTAGCTATAACATTCAACACTCAGAAAGTCCAGAGGAAATATAAATAAAAATAATTGAATCACACAACATAACAATTCAACTCACCCCCGAATGCGGTCTCTTAGCTCATCATCTGTAATCTTAGTCCTCGCATAGCCAAAAATGTGAACTTCGTTTGATGGAAGGAATCCCTAGTGAAAAACCCACATCAAATAAAAGTTAATATACTCTATAACAGCATATCCTATGTACTCTCAAGGTCAATCAGGGATCTGGGAAAAATAGCATGCAGAGCTAAAAACCACTACAAAAGAGCAAAAAATAAGCCATAAAAAAACCTGTTTAAATAGGTGAAAAAGANCTATAATTGAGAGAGACCCCTTTTCATGCAGATTCAGAGACTCCACAGAGAATGAGTCGCTTCTCAAACTAGCTCTGTTCTCAATGTGCCATGCTCCTGATCCCATTTTCTAATCTCTGCAAAATCAAACCCAGAAATTAAATTAAATCTTAAACCATCAGTCTATTTTTTACTCTGTTAGTTCAATTTAATTGTCTTCTCCATTAAAGACCCAAACGTTCTCATCAAACAACTCACATACACACACACACACACACACACACACACACACACACACACACATATATATATATATAATTCGAAACAAGGAAATATATACACACACACACACACAAACAAGGAAATATAATTCGAAACCGATGAATCCGGAATCCTAAAACTGATTGAAACTATCAATTCAAATAAGAAAACTAAAGAAGTAACAGTTTGTGATTGGATTCGAGATTCAAGAATCGTTACCCGGTTATAGAGGATGGCAATTCAGAACTGTGCTTCGAAACAGAGCCCAGGCAGACGAGATATATATATATATATATATATATATAGAGAGAGAGAGAGAGAGAGAGAGAGAGAGGTTTGAAAACTAGAAGGAAGGAAGCCAAGTTTGACAATGAAAAAGAGAGAAGAGAGAAGACACGGGAAGGTGGTGGTGGTGGTGATGGTGGTGGTAGTTGCTGACGAATATCAAGAAGAGATATATTTTATTTATTTTGATTGATTGATTTATTTATTTATTTATTTATAGGACTCACCTTGGACAGTTTGCGCTGTGTTTTCCCTTCTTACCAGCCGCCGCACTTAATTTATATTACATAAGCCCGCCCTCTACTCCCGCGTATTTCTATATTTGCCCAACAATTTTTTTTGCTTCTTCCTTTTACGGGACAAATTTTATTTTTGAGGAAGACGGATTCAAATTCAAGACCTCCATATTAGTTACACTAGCCTATGGTCTAAGCTCACCTGGATTTAAAGACTTGATTCGTAATACTATATTGTGTTTTATTTTGTATATATTGTAATATATGAATGATGGAGATTATTCAAAATAATATTAGGTGCTACCAAGTTTGATCATCTTTTAATCAAGTTTGATCATCTCTTAATGTATGTGATGAAACAAAAAAAAGAAAAAGATAAAGAGTAAATCACTTATGAAGCTATGACTTTCATTCAATGAAACTTTCGGAGATTTGGGGAGTGTTTGATTCCAATAAATTTTTTTAACTATATTTAGAAAAAGAAAAAGATTGAATAAAATAAATATAGTGATATCGACAATTTAACATATTCGATCGTTGTTCAAAATGGTCAAAATAGACAATCAAACATAGCCGAGTGATCGTAGAGTGTTATAAAGTGGTCAAGATTTATCAAGAAGATTAGTAAATAAATAATTATAAATATGTAACATGACAATAAAGGTTAGTTTTAATAACATTTATAGATGAAGTTTTATTAAAAAATACTTAGAAAATACTCATTTTAAATTTATATAAAATAAAATTTCATTTGAAGTTTTGCTATATATTTTTTTCCTTTATTTTGTTTTTCTAAAGTGAAAAGGAATAATGTTGATGTTCTATCTTTGAGAAAATTACATCGTTTTTATTTTTTTAAAGATAAAAAAAATTACAAAGAAGTTCTACTATTTCTATTCTTTTCCATCTAAATATCTATTGTATACAATTTTATGAAAATTTGTCTTAAAACAAAAACAAAAACAAAAACAAATAAAAGTAACATATGCTCTTATATTTGTTATTTGAGGGTAAGGAATTGGAGACCCTTTTATCCTACGAATTGGTTGAATTAATTATTATTCTGACATGTATGAATTATATAGATTTAGCAAAGCCAATCATTTCATTCAATATAAATTTAATAATCAATACATCAGAAAGATTTGTGTTATACTTTTTCACCAAACAAAAACTTACTGTCTATCTTAAGAGTATACTTTGTCAAATTATGATAAAACACACTTGAAAAATGAGACAAAAAAATATATATAATAGTCAAAGATGATAAAATTTAATTCAATATATAAACTAGACATCTAAACATCATATAGACAAACAATTAATGAACAATATTTAAACATCTCTCACGAATAAAAGAGAGAGACGAATACGACATAAGTTAATTCAAAAATTATACCCAAATACAATTCTCATCCGTAAACAATATTTATAGTAGTTTCTTTTTTTGGTTGTTTTTCTTGTGTATTCAATGTTGAAAAAGTTGATTGCGCAAAACAAACAAAAATTGATCGTGATATATTTTGTAAACCTTTGGATTTACAAATCCAATAAATGATGTTATTAGAAAAAATAAAAAGTTGTAAACCCAAACCCAAATAAACGAAAAGTTGAGTGGTTACATATAAAAAATAAAATAATTACAAGACACCGGCCAGGCGAATCAAACAGTAGCGCGCCACTGCCCCAAACACCGTGGCAACCATCTCATGTGGCAAACGCCACTAATTCGAGGACAAACTGATTGTATTCAACCTTTATTATACCTATTAAATGCCACATCACTTCCTTGGAAATTTTTTAATATCCTCCTTGGACATTAGGTCCACTAAATTCCCATGAAGACTTTATTTTTCCTTTTTCTTTTTGATGTTTACTTGATAATTTTTTTTTTTTGAATAATACTTGATAATAACTATCATTTTTATTATGTTTTTCCTGTTCCTGTTGAGAAAAATGGTTTTAATTTGACACCATTTTTTATTTTTTTAATGTATTTATCTGTATTTTATTTTACTATAATTAGGGTGGTCATTTCGTGGGGAGAAGTGGGGTGGGGCATTTTATGTTGAAATCTTTGACTTGTTCAAAATCAATTATACGGACAAGATACGAATGATCACGATCGTCTAATTTTGAAATTTTTTTCACCCAAGTTTGAAATACGAGAAATCGATCCAAGATTTTTTTTTTCCCAATTTTTCAGGCTAAGTTTTGCAAATGATTTTTCCATGTCTTACGATAATGGTGGATGTGAACCAAATTTATTTTTTTATTTTTTAAATACAATTTTGCACGTGAAGATCAAATGTTTTTAAATAGACCGTCCTAGAGATACTAGCAAGATTTTATAATATATATATATATATATATATATGATTATGGGTGAAGGATGATAATTTAGTTCTTAAAATTTAATTGTGATAATTAAATTCTAGAATGTTTTTATTTGAAATAATTTAGATCATAAACTATTTAAATCATGACTTATTAAATTTAAATTTTTGACGTAATACACATTTGAGAACACGTTGTAACATCTAAAAGTGCATTTAAAAATTAATTCATAAATTTTAACTTTTAGGCATAAGGATAAATAATCATGAAAAAAAATTCTATAAATGTGTGATTTCATAATCCCAAAAAATGCTACCATTTAACAAGTTACTACTTCAGACGGTCTAGGGATAAAATTGTTACAAAATAGAAAATTTAAGACTTAATTATTATAATTAAATGTTTGAGGACCAACTTGCCATTAACCCTTGATTATATATATATAGAGAGAGAGAGAGAGAGAGAGAGATAGTCTAATAATTAAGAAACAACTCCACCTGCAATGATTTGATTGTTAGTTGAACACACTTTCACAAGTCACAACTAAACTTGCGGATAAATGTTTCTTAATTCTCACCGGTCACTCTAACCCAATTGAAATATCATTGAATAAGATTTTCCAATTAAAGAGGAGATCTAATCTTACATATTACAGTTGAGTTTGACACTCGTTTTGTGTAACTTACAAGATTTTTTAATTAACTTATAATGTGAACAAAGATAAATTAGTGTGTAACTCACATTTTTTTAAATTCAATGAACAAATGCTACGAGTTAGTGCAACTAAATTGGTAGAGGTTTTCGCACAACATGTGTTATATCACGAAAACACCAGCTACTCTACTTAAACTATATTAAGATTGCTATAGCTATGTATTTTTCGCCTGGAGGCAAAAAAAAAAAAAAAAAAAAAAGTAATAATAATAATAATAATAACAATAATTAAAAACCCTTCAACTACCCCCTCCACTTGCACCCCGTCCAACCCTATAATGAGCAGTGGTCACTAAATTTTGACCACAATCTAAGAGTGAGATCAAAAAAAGATCGTTTGTCTCTCTCATTTTGGTCAAAACAGAGAGTTCACATAAGGTCAAATAGGGAACCTAGAAAGTTGGTAGAATCATATGGATGCCGGAAACCATTTTTTCTAGTTGTGCTACTGCTATTTTTACAGCTCGGAAGTATTAGGTCAGAGAATCAAGCACGAGATTTACAGTCAACAAAGCCACAATGAAGCAAATGGCCATAATCTAAACTTAAAAAGTCAAAATCTTTACACAACAGTTTGCCTTTTTTTTTTTTTTTTTGAGGTCTTTATTCCACTTCTTATCAAGCCAAAAAAAGAGAGAGAGAGATAGAAAACAGGATAATAGCATCACTAATGAATTTGCGTAATGTCCTATTTTAGCATAAATTTAGTACGCATTACTTGGATATTTTAGCTTAAATTTTGTCCTATTTTAGCATAAATTTAGTACGCATTACTTGGATATTTTAGCTTAAATTTAGCACGTATAATTTTTTGTACCAATTGTAGCACCAATTACAGCATAAACTCAAATTTAATATCATCTCTATTGGACTTTACATTATCATCATTATCATATCGCCATTAGTATTCTGTAATTTAAACCTAAAGTATAAATTTTGCAAAATAATAATTGAGATTAAAAATTTCTGAAAATTAATACACTGATTTGATTTTTTAAATAATTTTAATTAATAAAAGACAATAATATCCTCAAAATTAGTTAGAATAATAATAACTAATTTAGTTTTAATGAAAGATATTATTATTTTCTTGTTCTTAAAATTGATCAAAAAGTCGTATTAAATTTCAGAAATTCTCAATCTTAATTATTATATTACGGAGTTTAAATTTCATAGTTTAAATTATAAAGCACTCAAATTTCATGATTTTCTTTTACGATTCATCCATACAAATAATATTCAAATACAAAAAGGTATTTTTTTTTTTTTTAAGCACGATAGAATTAGAGCTTAACGAATCAGGTTATCATCTAGACTAGCTAGCTAGCTGATTTACAATCAAACCATGCGGGTTCGTCAATCGCTATAAACTAGCCTCCTGGTGGCATCATTTTTGGTCTCTAAAGCTACATCCCAAAGTGAAAATTTTCATATGGCGAGCCGATCACAATGCCATCATCCCAGTTTCAGT